CCCTCTCTTCGTTTCTCCTTCCTCTATTTTCTTATTCTTATGCAACTTAATGGTGGAAGAATAGCCTAGCTCAACGGATTATGATATTTAACATAACTTTAAGAATGTTCTATGCCATTGGAGTACTGTGACTATTCTGGAACCACCGACAAATGCCGTAAATGGGCTGAAGAGAACGCTCCTGACGCTCTAGAAGGCCTTGAGATTGCTCCAGGGGCAGAGGGTGAGGAGAAGAAACATCAGAAAAGAGGTGGAAAGGGTACATCCAAGGTATATAAAGCAACCTTTCCTGAACGACTTGGCATTGAACTTTGTTAAAGTCTAGGTCGAGAAGAAGAAAACAGTTATTGCGACGAAAATTACATTGCAAAGAGAACCTCGTGGGAAGAAGAGTGTCACTGTTATTAGAGGATTAGCAGGCTTTGGTGAGATTTAAATTAGATTTGGGCCTGTTTGAGTTGCGTTGATGATGTATTTTACAGAAATTGATTTGAAACAAGCGACGAAGCTGTTTGCTCAGAAATTCGCTTGTGGTAGTTCCGTAACCGGTGCTGATGAAATAGTCATCCAGGGAGATGTGAAAGATGATCTTTTCGACATGATTCCGACCAAATGGCCTCAGGTAAGATTTGTCTAAGTCTATCTTTGAATTTTTGTTAAATAGTTAATATCTAGGTTCCCGAAGACATGATCGATGACCTCGGAGATAAGAAGCGATAGATTATTTCAAGCTGAATATTTCATTGTTATTGTTCGCATAAACATATTTTTTTCTTCTGACTATATTTTCGGATAAGTGGGTGTTATCCAGCATTCAATGCCATCAATTGAACCATTCGTTTGACTGTCATTTTCACTTATTGACAACGCAGTTCAGGGCTAAGATCTATCTATTTTACTAATGAGGCTGTGCCTGACGCCGCGACAACGAACCCGCGTCTTCAACTGGATATTTTTTTGTGTTGCTGCATTTCTATTCATAACATGGAGCAGAGAAGGCTCCA